ATGTCACAGCAAACAAATGACATAAAAACCCTCAATCCCGTTCAGAGAATAAGAGCTGGGCTAGGATAATTAAATCAAATAAAACTTATAAAATTAAATTAAACTAATTAATAAATAAAATTAAATATTTGGTGTAATAAGTTGATGTCCTGAACATCTGAAACTTCGAAAAATATTATTTGCATATTTGTTTTTTGAACCATAAAAAACTAAGTTTATATATATTTATATTTACACACAAATGTAAACGTTGAACTCCGTCTCTTGTTTCTCAAATCGATAAGTTAACATGTTAAATAATCACGATCTCAGTACAGACAAAGTTATCATCGTTTATTTTCCGTAGTTGAACAGCTTTACACTAAAACAGGGATGTGTATTGTTGAAATTCTGGCGATACGATACATATCACGATACGGGGAGACGATACGATATATCACGATATATTGCGATACATTCAGTCAGACGTTACAAGCAATTTTTTTTACTGAATTTATTGTAAGAATGTTCAATAAACAGTCCAAACTGATACGTAACATGTTTAACATGAGGTATCTGAACCATGATGGAAGGAGTTACATTTCAATGGTGGAAACAAAACCTGTTGCACACTGCTGCGAACTAGCGGGTGGCGAATGAATTGCACAAAACGAAAAGAAAATACACAAAAGTTTGCATGTAAATTCTTTCAAGAATTAGATACACGGCTTTTGAATATCGATGTAATAATCGCAGGAAAAAAATATCACGATATATTGCCATATCGATATTTTCTTACATCCCTACACTAAAATAAACACAAAAGGGTCTTAACATGCAGCTTGTTTTTAGCAAAAAAATTAGGAAATTCATCTCAAGTGAAAAATATTAAACTGTAATTTTATTAACCTTGATGCAACACTTTCCATCAGCATTAGACGCTTTCGGTCAAACTTCCATAAGATTGGGTTGAAATCAAAATCAGTGAGTGACATCATAAACAGGAGGTGGGTGAAACATTATTATTATTATTGTTGTTATTATTATTATTATTATTATGGAAATGTGGATCAACTATTTTTAATTTTTGTTTCCACATCATTTAATACAAGCTTTATAGAAAATGTGACAACGTGGAAGAAACCATCATGAAACGGGTAACGAATGAATGATTCCACATAATTAGAGCAAACTGTTATGTTATTATTGACAGACACCATTAGCTAACTTGGCCAGATCTAAGTGTGATGAGCTGAGGTCATTCCTACTATACGTCTAGTTTGTCTGCTCTCTTTCTTTGCTTCTAAAAAAAACAAAACTATAAATCAAGTTTTTCCAAATCTGGACTTGAAGAGGACTTGTGTGCACATCTGGCACTTGGAGGCACGAGCCACACGTCCTCCTCATCTTCCACCTGAGAGGAAACGATGAGTGTGCAGAGACAGGAGGGCAAGGTGGAGAAAAAGCTAATCTTGTGGCTGGTGGGGCATTTGCTATCAGCTTGTTTCTGTCAACGGTTCACCGTGCCACATGGCTGCATCCGTAATGTGAGCATGTGTCAACACACATTTTGCATATCTGGCAACATGGAGAGCAGCTGACTGGGAGGATCTGTGGCTGTGACAAAACTCCAGCGTCTACTACGAAATGCCCTGAAGTGTGTGAAGAACATACACAAAGAGCACGATTCTCCTGCTCTCTTTTAGTGTTTCTTAAATGTGCAGGTGCAATGCTGCTTCACAGGAAATCAGAGCTACCACATAAAAAAAAAAGGGGGGGGGGGGGGGGGGGGGGGCAGTTCCTGCATCCTGACAACAAACTTTGATTACACCAATCAGAACGTCACAACCCGGGTAAGGGCAGGAGCAAAACCAGACAGCACATCAGCACCGGGCCTGACTCACCGTCTACTCAACACCGAACACAGGAAGCATCAGGCTGATGTGGTGTCAGGAGAGCCGCGGATGAAAGACGAGTCCGCTCCACGAAAAAATACGGCTGTGGCTCAAATTTTAATGAGTGGTTTTACTAATTAAATATCCCAGCCTCCATTTTAATCAGCAGATTTGAGAGATTACTGTCGCTCCATCCACGGACATGTGCAGACCTCACACGCAACCGCCTCCTCTATATGAAAAAGTCCACCCTGCTTTTCATTTCCCCCAAAGTAAATCTTCTTAATACAAAAAAGGTCAAACTGATCCACAAGACTGACATCCAATTACTGTCAAGTGTGACTAATTATAATCTGACAAACGTGTGAAATGGAGTCAGGAACCCAAGACAGAGGCTAATTATAGCAGATTGAAACACTTCATTAAGCACAGCTTATAGCGAGGACACATTCCACATCAGAACACTAAAACGTCTCCAAGATGAAACAGCGGCTTGACAGCAGGCGCATGGTGGAGCTTGTTGGGACATAAAAGGCAAGAAATAGATCAGCAAAGTGACAATGAAATATACTTTCCAATAATAATGCTGCTCTTGTGACAAAACAAACAAACAAACAAACAAAACAGCCGATTGGTGAAAAGCAGATTCATGAGAGCTGTGATGTTTCTGCGCAATTCCCTTGTGGGTTAAATGGAGGAGCATGGCACAGTCGGAAAACATTTTATTATTTACGCTGGCAGTGTTTCCTTCTGCAGCATCCAATCGGTGAGCAGGGAACTGACCCGTGTCATTTCAGACATTCTAGTCATTTAAAGGGGACTCATGCAAAACTCACCTTTTGCATCCTTACATGGTGCCATGCGGGTCTCTGCTGCTGCTACAGACACACCAAACATGGTGGAAATCCTTTTTCTGTCTGTGTTTGTTTTTTGGAATTATGTTCCTAAAACAATCAATTTCAAAATGTCCATTTGTGATGTCACAAACGGGGAAGTAGAACAGCACCACCTCCCATGTGCAAGAGGAGCACGGGCTCTACTCTACTGGAGCTTCTCAGCTTATAGCAGTCTGAGTGGAAGATGGTGGGCGTGGCCAGCTCCAGTTTATATTCTTAAAGTGAAAAAGCTATGAAATGACTTCTTCTGGAAAGCACTGAAAATGTTGAGAAGAAAACTGTTGAGATTGCTTTATGCGAGCGGGATTTAGTGCAAAGAACATATTTTGTATCAACCATAGAATTATTTTAAACTGCTAAAGTTGCAAGAGATTTAGAGCTATGCCACTACATGTCTGCACAAGAGAGAAATGTTATGAGCGCTTAAAAAACTAGCACGGGCAAAGAAAACAGCTTCAGCCTTGTATTTTAGGGCTACCTGTGTCTTTTTGAAAATGTGTTCAAAACGTATGTTCACCTGACCAGAAAGGGGTGGAAAAAAAATAAACTAACTGCACGGCTGCAAATACTTGCACAAGAACCTGACTTAAATGCAAACAGTCAAAAAGAAAAGCAAAAACAAGCAGAAAGTGACACAAAATGGTGAAAGTGGATCCTCGGTGGTCCTCAGTAGGCTTAAAGCAACCAAACGCATCCGTGCACAGAAGCCTAATGGTTCTGAATCGGTCCACACCGGCTTGAGGTGTAGTTGACTGAGGGAAGCAGGGTACCTCTGTGCAGAAGCAGATGGTTCTCCTGCATGAGCCCAACACTTCCTCACTGTCAGAGCATCTCTCTGACAGATGGGCCCAGGATCCTGGACCAGCTAATCTCCAGCACTCCTCCACTTAAAGGCACAGTGGAGCTCCAGCTCCACAGCCATTAGAACACATCAATACAATCAGGCTGACTGCTGCTGCTGTCACGTAATGTTGAACTCACTGTGCATTTAAAGAAATACCGCAGTATTATTATTGTGGGATTTTACTATAAAAATGACAGGAACAAGAAGGTAAAATAAGCCTATTATGCATGTAATAAATTAGTGAAACAGAACAAAAGAGAATTATGGGAAATTAGTGTTTATTTCCTTGAAACTTGAAGATAAAAATGCATTTTGCGCATGTTTATGGATCACAGAGTGACAGTGAATTTTCCAGGAGCAGATTCAAACTGCTGTCACTTCTGTCGAATTCCCCAGCTTGCAAATCCAAAATGCCTCCTCCCTTTCTTTCTTTGCTCGCTTTCCTGGGTCCTGATCACGTCTGCGCTTCGAGAAGCCAAAGTTGACATGTCGACAATTCACAGAAACTATAAAAGCCGACTTTCGGGAATGTCAGATGATATTCCGCTGCCGTGTCCGACCAAGCTCGAATGAAATCGGCTTTTAATCATTCAGAGCGGCACGTTTTTGTCGACAGTTTTCAAATAAATGTCCAGCTCCGGAGACACGACACTCTGCCGAGTTCAAGCCCCCAAAAGCCCCTCCAGCTCGGGTGAACATGTCATGCAGCTCTCCGCTCATGTTTAAAGCCTAAATGTTGAAATCCGGTGGAATAAAAGAACAGTAGAAGCCTTAGTTTGCTATGGAAGAAGTACACTAAATCAATTTGGTCAGCGTCGCCTGCCTCATGCACAAGGCTGGGAATGACGCGCGCGGACAACCACTTCCCACGGCCGACTTGGCAGCAAAGTAAGCATTCATTATTTAATAAATGTCAAAATTACTTACGCTTTTAGTGGATTCTGAATGACAGCCGCCATTTTGCTACAATGTAACGCAATATCGGCGTCTTGCAGTTCTGAGGGAAACCTAGCGTAATTGACCAATCAGAGCACGAGACGAATCCGTGGTCCAATAGCTTTTCAGCATTGGCGGATGGGGCGTGGCCTAATGGGGGTAAACTGTCAAAATTACTTTAAAGGGTTTTCCCTTGTATTCATTTTGTACACAACTGAATTACAGCACTTTTTTAAAGGGACATCCTGGATAACAGCAGCGATAACGTTGTGACTGAATCGTGCATTAGAGACGTCACAGAATATGAAAAAGGAAGTTTGATTTATTAAAATTATTAATAATTCAGCATAATCAATAAAAGCACCACACACGTTTTCCCTTTACTTTATCAGAGGCTGCAGTGTTTGATGGGAGTAGAAGAATAACACACACACACACACACGGAGGCAGTTTCAGATTGTTTTGACAGCCAGGTGCTGACACAGCTTTAATCTTATGCAAATCTTCCACCAGATCAGAAGGTATCACATAATTTCTTCAAGTTAGATTCTAACAGTTGAAAGTACACACATTAGAAGATGAAGAGTATTGATAGCATCCTCACTTATTGACAAAAAAAGCTTCTTGAAATGCATTTCTCAAACACTGCAGGGGAACATCTGAGGAAGCGGACATCACAAATGTGGAAACAATTTAGTGCAAGTAACCTAGCTCTATGTCCAATTCTTTTCTGTGCAATGTTAGCATACCAGGAGGGTTTGTTTCATGGAACAATCACACAAATCAGATCACTGAGACACATTTTCTCATCAGAGATCAACAACAAAATAACATTATCTTCATTCTTTTGTTTGTTTTCCAAAATAAAATACAAACATTTGCTTGAAAGGCATCACCTTGTGCTTTATATGATATCACATGTGCATGTAATGTTTTCATTAGATGGGCTACAATTGTGTCACGTAATATGGATTAACATGTGAACAGAACAAGCAAAAACAGTAGAAAGTGCAGTTCACAAACTTCCATTACAAAAGAATATAAACATCCAATCAATGACTATAACTATGACTTACAACAGCCTCTGATACAAGGATAAAAACATGTGATGCACTGAATTAAATCACAATCTTGTCTTGTTGAGCTTGCAGAGAACCAGAGAAATCTGAACATCCTTCGCCCTTGGAAGACTTTTTCCACACATTCCAGCAGGCAGGAACTATTAATAACATTTAAAACAAATGTAAACATTGAATTTATGGATTAAGACACCACCTATCAGAAGAGGCTGTTGTCAAAACAAACAAAAAGCATGAATCTCTCAGACTGTCGAGCATGCGCGTCCTTCATTTAAAAATGAATATATAAACGGCAGTCAACGCTGAAAATCTGCACTCTTTTATATCGTCATCCGACCACAAACGACACGATGGAATATAAACATCACATCAGCACAAATACGATGACCTGAATGATTTTTGGCACACCAGATATCCAAAATTTAAAACCTACAGTTGGAAAGTTCAGCTGAGTTTGGAACTTCTTCCCCTGGATCATCTGGCTTTTGGCCGCTATATAACAGCCTATAACAGCTGAAAAAAGGCTTAGTGCAAAGTAACCAAGATGCTATAATGCATGCATGCAACAGAACCTGCACAAATGATCCTTCTGCTGTCACACATCAGAGAAACAACACAGTTTAAGGTGCTGGAAACTAATCACAACAACCCATCAACATTCTCAACTATCACTCTTAAATAATGCAATAAAAGAAGTTTTTTTTCCTCACGCTTTTTTTAAAATAATATAAAAATAATTCAAACAGCTTTATTTAACGGAAACATTAGTGATTTGTGTCCATAATAACCAAAATGAATCTTTTAATAATCTGAGTTGAAATGCAGGTTTCAGAAACCAAAAGTTCTGGCTGTTCTACAAAGGCCACACAAACTCTCAAACCCAAAATATTCCCTAATGCCGGGCGGACGCTGGGCAACTTGTGAGTTTTCCTTTCCACAGATACAAGTCAGAACCATTAGAGTAGAGGTAACGTCAGCAGTGACTGAGCGAGAGGTTCTCTGAGGAAAAGAAAGCCCCCCCACTAATTAAAGTTCTCCAGGTTTCTGGTTGCAGCCGGCACACACACGTACAGGGTGATCCCAGCCACGCGAAGGGACCGCTCGGCGCTCCGGGGAGCATTCGTCACACACTCCTTGGCCACAGGCACGGCAGTGGTGCTTGGACAGCTTGGCAGTGAACTCACGTTGGCAGCTGTGGCATGACAAGATGTCCTGGTCAGGAACCCAATAGGCAGGACGGGCTGCATCTTTCACTAAGCCTAAAGGAAGATGGAACATACAGTAACGTTGACACCACAGCCACACGTCTGAGAAGCTAACATGATACTACAGCCTGGAGCTGCTTCACACTGCTTAGCAAACACGCTGCTATGGGAGTCCAGCTCATGCGCCATCTTTGATAAATTCAAACCAAATCTACATTTTTTGGGCTTTAAAGACCAAATTCACGTTGCGGTGATCCCTAGTATAAATTAGTGCCTTTGACTTGATCTCTGTGGGGGGAAAAGCTCTGGCGCTCCTGTTTTCGTTCTCACCTCTGATTGGCTAACAGCAACTCAACTATCACTGACTCTGTTTGCTTTGATGTTTTATCTCCACTAGCAACACAAGCCTGGAGGAGTTCTGCTGTGTTGGGGAGCTGTTAACGCTAACTGTTAGCTTCTACTAACCAAAATGTGCTCTGCTCTCACTTCAACGCTAAATCGACAACAACCTTCCCCTGTCGTGAGCCAAGATGGAGATCAGGAATGCTAATTTTTCACTGAATAGCTTTTCTAATCCATTTGATTCCCTGTCTATTTTTTTTTATCTACAGCTAACCCAGGAAATAGGGGTAGAAGACTATTTTCTAGTTCAGCCTGCAGGTGAAACTCGAGAGTGACTGCTTATATTTCAAAAATAAAACCCTATCTCAGTGAACTTGGTCTTTAATGGTGTTTTGGCCCAGACTTCTCTGGCTCAAGATCATCTTTTAGCGCCTTTGATGGTGCCATTCCCAATTAAAAGAACACATTGGAGTGTCTAAGCATGAAGTAGTACCTTTGATTATGCACTGCTTTCTGTTTACTTGCACTCATTTGAGAGTAACCTATGCTCATGCTGCCCCACAAATGTCATAAGTCTACAATTACCCCCCCATAGTAAACCAATGTCCTTAAGTGCCTGGTACATGTTTCCATGGAAACACTGAAACTAGTTAGGCTAATTTTGTTGTGACTGGAGCGGAGTCCACTGGGTTGGTTGTAGATGCACGGATATTTTCAGCAGCCTATCAGGTTATCAAAAACATATCTAAGCCCTTCTGTGGTAATCATTGGCTTAAGTACTAACAAAATGTACGTGAGATAAATATTCAACTTATGCTTTGAACAAACACCACGTTGACACTAGGGGCTGCACGACTTAATTTTATTTAAAGTCGACTGTCAAGTAATGAAAATCAAGTCGACTTTGACTAGTCGTTGATGACGTCACACACCTGAAGCGGTGGGTGGGTGTGTGTGTGTGTGTGGGGGGGGGGGGGGGGTGTCGCTGGAGTTTTTGACAATTAAAATTGCGCCCACATTTTCAAAGTTAAACACATCTCTTATAACAGCTGTTGTTTCTGCATCTATACTGCTCCACTTCAGCTCTCTCCCCCCTCCCCATGCGCCGTGCGCCTGCAGCCTCTCGGAGTTCCTGCTGCTCTAAACATCAAAATAATTATTTCATTTTCTGTTCCTCACTTCTGATTACCTTCAATGGTGTCTGTTTGTTGCAACCACCAGGTACAAAAACTAGCTTGTTTTTATTTGACTATTTTTCTGTCCTACCTGTTTATTATCTTCCTGCATCTCCTCTCAATCCTAAAGAGAAACTGCTACCTGGGTTCATATATATTCACCTCATGAGTTACCTTTGAACTGCAGTTCTAAAAGATCTACCGACCGCAAAAACAGCGGAGTGCTCGCTGCTCGCCGACCGCATCAGTGAGGTGAAGTTATTTGAGGACAAAACAGGTGATGCGCCCCGCTCCACAGCAGCGAAACGCATCAGGCACAAATAAAAGACAGAAAACATGAAAGGAAATGAGCCGACATGAACGATCGCGTGTTAAATTTGTTTTTGAGGTGGCGACAACTAATTTGATGTTACTGTGGCCGTGGTCAGGACGCAGATGTCTGGAGCGCGTCAACAATCAGAGCTTTGCATGCGCAAGCTGGTTAAGATTAGGATGGGGGTGAGGAGAAGGTTAAATTGCAAGAGGGTAAAGGTCACTATTTGGTTAAATGTCTGTTTTATGGCGGGCGTCAGTACCGACGCTCTGGCACAGCGCGTTGCCTCCCAATGCGCAGGGGCTTGTCACCTGCTGTCTTTTCCGAGGACTGCATCTTGTCACTCATTATCACGTGGCAGCGACAAGTCGCTGAAAGGCATAAAAAGTCACTACAGAGCAGTGAAGTCGACTAGTCGACATACAACCCCTAGTTGACACTAGATTTTCCACTCAGCGATATCTTTTTATAGGATCTTGAAGTAAATATGTCAAATAAACAAGTCTCACTGATTTGTTGTGAAAACAATCTTCTCATAAACACCAAACCAGACTGGATTCTTGAGGTTAAAGGAGAGGATATAAAACCTATTAATGCAGTAGAGTCATAAAAGCAAATTTAACAGGTTTATGTTATGTAAACAAACTGTAAATGTCAATATAACTGACACTTGAGCAGTCACGCGGAGTTCACCGTATAAAGTCTACTATAATAAATCAACAAGTGGTTGAATGAGTTGCAGATTTCAGTGTTGCAGTCCTGGTTGGTTCTGGACTTGCACAAAATGATGTTTTTCATCACAAAAACATTTTTATCAGGAGCCTAGAAATTTTCGAGGGAGGGGATTTCCTATGAGATAACATTTCTCAGCCTATTTTAATTTTATTCCCTAAATTGGAATTCCGTGTTCCTGTCTGAGGCCCGGTTCACACTGCAGGATTTAAAAGTTGCTGGACGATTCTCAAAACACGAGAGTGCCCAAACTTAGCGATGAAACAAATGATGGTTTTTGTCCTACAGCGTGTGGTGTCTGGCCACACACCAAACACAAACTGGTGTCACTCATAAATGTTTCAGTCAGAGGGGAAATCTTGCAAAACCTCTCGAGATCTAAAGTAACTTGGGAGTACACAAACACAGCAGATGAGGAGGAAAATTTGGATTCCCTTGTATGGATGTCCCGATCCAATCACATGCTCGGAAATCGGCCCAGATCACGTGGTTTCAGACTTGATCGGGACTCGGGTTTTACTTCCCGATCCAAACCCCAATCTGGACTCGGATACCGGGTTCAAATTACAGGAGAGCAACTTGGTTCTCCTTAAAGGTTGTCAGGCTCCCCTGATGCCCTTAACTTACACACCCAGAAGGAGCACAAAAAAGATCCAGTTTCTACCTATATTATATTACATTACATTACATTATATTACATTACATTATATTATATTACATTATATTATATTACATTACATTATATTACATTATATTGCATTATATTATATTATATTATATTTGAGCAGAGATGCAGAGCGGCAGGCAGACCGCTGATTATTCATGAACTCCAGCTGCATTCTGCACACGGCCACAGTAACATTTTCTAAGTTTCTAAGTGGCGTCACCAAAAACTATATAATTAACACACAGTCATTCGTGTCCGTTCATTTTCTCTCTGGTAAGTTCTGTCTGTGTTTGAGCATGACGTGTGGATGCTCTTACGCTGCAGCGCTCGTCACTAGCTCAGCCGGGCAGCGCGGCGCACACTCCGCTTTTTTTGCGGTCAACTGATCAATTTGATCTGCTAGTTAAAAAGTTACTTGAGAGGTGAAAATGAAGGAAGCAGGCAGGAGTTTTCTGGAGGACTGGGAGATGCAGGAGGATCAGAGACAGGACAGGAAGATCGGAAAATAAAAACCAAGAAAACAAAACAAAGTTCTTAAAAAAATAAAATGTAGGTAGATTTATCCCACTACACGTTTGTACCTGTATAAAGCAGTAATTTATCAGCATGTAGAATTTATATAGTTGATACAATTCAGATCATCTTCAAAACTCCGTCCCATGCCCAGGGGCGTATCTAAGCATTTTGGGGGCCGAGGCTAAATAGACACCTGCCAGCTATTCTAAGTTGAAGTGCTATCGGTTTTTATATTAGACTTTTTATATTTGCAATAAAGTCCAAAAGTGAAAAATTTACGTTATTACTTGATTGTTCAAGCTACCTCACAGAAGTGATCTGTTGTTAAAAATTAAAATAAAAAGGTAATTAAATAAAAAATAAGGAACATTCTGGAACAGTTTCTTCCTTTTCTTTTCTTTTTTTTTTTTACGTATCGAAAGTATCGGATCAGGACTCGGTATCGGGAGATTCTCAAAATCAAATGACTCGGACTCGAGGGCAAAAAAACCTGATCGGGACATCCCTGTTCCCTTGGCTCCATGCTTCCATCATCTAGCTTTCTGATTGGATACACGTGACACCCAACAGGCTGCTTTGTCCTCAGACACTCCACACACAAAGGAGCCTAGATATTAAAACGTGGAATATCCTCGATTTGTGATCGGAGTAGAGCTGCCACAAACGATTGTTTTGTTATTGGATTTTGCACAAATTCTAGTTTATCGCACTAGCATGCAGCTTCTAAAAAAACAGCATCTTTAGCTTCAAACGTGAATGTTTATGCATTATGGGCTGTTTAAAAATAAATACGGCTGATTCAACTTTTAATGAACTTTTCAACTTAAAGAAAATTTGGAAAACAAAAAAGAAACGCTGGTTGTTGGCTTGGCAACAAGGTTGTCCACTGAAGGGTGGCGCTGTAACGTAGCGGTATAAAATAAATTATTAGCGTTGTAACAGTATGGCAAGCACGTGACATGTGTTAAGGGCAATGAAATAGCTGCCACTACTTTTAACGTTACAGCTATGAATACATGAGCTAGGTGTTGACATTAAAGGGACTTTACAGAGTTTTGAATTTTTATGCTCGCGATTGCCCCCTCAGGCCAAAAGCGTAACGGCAGCTTCAATAGCAGGCTCGTGCACGGGGCGCGCATGCTGTACGTGCACACTCCTTAACGAAAATAACAGCTGAGACAGTCCCGTGTGTGTGTGTGTGTGTGGGGGGCCCGGAGGACAAAGGAAAGGAGAACACGCGGCTAATTAATTAAATAATTTGGTTCTGTACCTTTCTCTTCAGCACAGCTGACAAAAGGTTTAAGATGGGTCAGTCCTCCTGCATGCTCAGATCATTCCCTTGCTTGAAAAATTGTTCCAAAATGAAAGTTGAACCCACATCTTTTTTATCTGTGAATTCAATGCCGTTCGGCGAGCCTCAAATAAAAATTTGGGCATCTTACTGTAAAAAAATTATCATTAATGTAAAAAAATATACTCTAAATAAACTATGTTGACATCCAGAATCAAACCCGGGTCTTCTGCACAAGAGTCTGTCATCTTACTAGGTGAGCTATAGGACCAGTGACGACTTTTGTATCTGTAACATTTATATCCTTGATGACAGCTGAAACAATGTTCAAAGAACGGTTCGGAGCGAAAATGGCTATTTTGTTGCTAATTTGCAGGAAATATCTAGACGAAAGTAGCTAAGGGTCCTCAGAAATGTAGCTAGGTTCATCACTAGGCGTTAGGAACAGCGACAAAGACGCTGAGTTGGCACTACCTCACTCTCTGCTGCTAAAGCTACTGATAGTAAATGCTACGGGCGATGCCTGAGCGTGAACGCGTGTGAAGCAGCCTGCTCGATCCGAGCAGCTCTCTTTTTCTGTGATTTTACAGAAAAACAGGCAATCACAGTAAAAATGCCAGGACTCATTCAACAGGACCAGGGCATTGCAGGAGAATGTATGAAGAAGAAATTTATTATTTCTATACATGTTTTGGCTGTCAAACTTCCATAATGCCCCTTTAATTTTAGTGTCTAAATAGCAAATTAGAGCGATTAGATAATTTTATGCAAAAACGTGCTTCCTCTTAAAATTTTGCATTCATGTTTGTAACAGAAAACACGTGACGTACTAAGAGTAATGAAATCGCCATCACTGATATTAATGTTGGCATTTCAAGTAGCTCACTGTTGATGTTAGCAGCTGAGATGTGACCATTACGATTTGTCATCAGGCAGGACGTGCTTCCTTTAAAGATGCCTGTGAATTACAGTCGTTGTGCCATGGACGGCGGGTTCTACCTTGCAAATTCTGCAAGGATTCGCTTGAATTTCTATGAAATACTCCTAAACTTTTGAGCCTAATCCTGAATGCCACTACTGCACGTGTGCGTCAAGGGCAGAAAGGCAGACAAAGCAGCGGAAGGTAGAGCTTCAAAAATGAATGATGTTGTCAATTATTATATTTTTTGTTGCCAATTTTAGTAGTCGGCGTAATCACGACTAATCAACTCATTTTGGCTGCGCTAGATCGGAGCGTTCCCAACATCCTTTCAAACAGACCGGAAAATTCTAAACACATCACACACTGCAAGAATATCTGACAAGATTATCTCTGGACAATGGGGTGCGTTCTTAAGATTGTGGGAAGGGGAGAATCGATTCAAAAGTAGGAGTGGTTATCTCGCTGTTAACTGGACTCGTGTCATTAAAATGTGGTAATTTTATGCATCTCAGAAATACTTTTTTGCTGTTTGAAAACTTGCCACTTCAGATTCATGCAGCTTTAATCAGCTGAGAGGATAGCTGGCAACACGAGCGGTCCAACGACTTTGAGCATGAATGAAGAAAGAGGTCCAGCCCTAATAAAGACATTAGTTCATTTGAACAAGAATTCTGTAATCTTAACGTTTCACAGTGATTCTGTTGTAGCGGATAAGAACACACACATCCAGAGAGATGCAGTTCACTTGCTAATTAGCTTTAGCTTTGGAAAGAAGAAAAGCTCAGTTTGGGACAAGGACAAAAAACAAAGTGATGAACTAAATTACCCATGAACGTTTCATTCATACGCTTATTTAGCTGCTCTATGGTTTGCTGTCTGAATGGTGACAGTTTTAACACGTCAGCAAGCATCATCAGTGAAGAGCAATTCAGTTTTCCAATCTAATTTGTATAATTTCCCCTTCACCTGAGAGGTAATGAAAAAGACCCGGAGCGGAAGCAGTCTAGATCACATATGTCAGACTCAAGGCCCGCGGGCCAGATGCGGCCCGCGGAGCATTTTTATGTGGCCCGCGAGATAAATATCAAAAATATATTAAAACTGGCCCGCTGGCCGATTTTACCGCAAAGACTACAACTCCCATGATGCTTTGCGGTGGCAGCGCGGAGCCGACTCGCCCCCTCCTTTGTGTTTTTCCCAGCGCCTGCTGCCGGTGTGCAGCTCCGCTGTCTCAGACAAACTACACTCCTCTCACTCAGCGCCGAGTTCACTCAGCTATTTTCTGACGTTGAAGTCCAGAAACGGAGATTCTAGCCGCTCAGTAATGTGTTCACGACTGAAAGAAAGTTTTCCAACTAACGTCCAGACAGAGCCGATATAACTCCAGCGAGCAGCGACACGCTCAAACCAGCATGACTCTGTGGCTGCTGTCGTTGTGTTTCCTCCCCGACACACAACAACGTGGTCAAGCTGCTCAGACATGTTCACCAGCACAAACCTATGTGAGCACCTGTTGTCATCTAATGTTGTCATTATTATGATGAAGATGAACAAAACAACAGGAGTCTCCTCCTCAGCTCAGATCAACCCCATGATGCAGGTATCTGGCTGGAACAGGTGAGCCGTCGTCGTCGTCGTCTTCCTCCGCTTATCCGGGTCCGGGTCGCGGGGGCAGCATCCCAACTAGGGAGCTCCAGGCCGTCCTCTCCCCGGCCTTGACCACCAGCTCCTCCGGCAGGACCCCAAGGCGCTCCCGGACCAGATTGGAGATGTAACCTCTCCAACGTGTCCTGGGTCGACCCGGGGGCCTTCTGCCGGCAGGACATGCCCGAAACACCTCCCCGGGGAGGCGTCCAGGAGGCATCCTGACCAGATGCCCAAACCACCTCAACTGGCTCCTTTCGATCCGGAGGAGCAGCGGTTCTACTCCGAGTCCCTCCCGAATGTCCGAGCTCCTCACCCTATCTCTAAGGCTGAGCCCGGCCACCCTACGGAGGAAACTCATTTCGGCCGCTTGTATCCGCGATCTCGTTCTTTCGGTCATTACCCAAAGCTCATGACCATAGGTGAGGATTGGGACGTAGATCGACCGGTAAATCGAGAGCCTGGCTTTCTGGCTCAGCTCCCTCTTCCCCACAACAGATCGGCTTAGCGTCCGCATCACTGCAGACGCCGAACCAATCCGCCTGTCGATCTCCCGATCCCTCCTACCCTCACTCGTGAGCAAGACCCCGAGATACTTAAACTCCTCCACTTGAGGTAGGACCTCTCCCCCGACCCGGAGGTGGCAGGTGAACAGGTGGAACAGGTGAGCATCACAGTAAACCAGTGGAGCAAACTGAGCTTTAAATATGTTGGTTTTATGCTCTTTTTCTGCTCCAAAACATGAAAGTTAACAGGTGAGATGTTGCATTTTCATTTAAGATAAAATGATATTTTTATTTTGTTGTTGGCCTGTGAGAAAAGATTTAACCTACAGTAAACAGGAAGTGGAAAGGCTGCAGATAGATGAATAGAATAGAAAATCCCTTTATTGTTCCTCAGTGGGGAAAGCTAGACGTCACAGCAGCGATGACGCGTATTACAGGAGAAAAAAAGGAGAATAAAAAATAAGAAAAATGAATAATCAAGAAAACATAAATCCTGAATAGATTTTAAAAATGCTGATTATACCACAAGTAATGAATACCACTGATGCCTTTTATTTAAAACTGACTTGCTCGTGTGTAATTTGGTTATTCCACATTCAGTGTTAATGCAGAAATAAGTTTGTTTCCAAATTTTAAGGTTCAAAATTGCATATATGTTGATAAAGAAAATGTGCAAATTTGCCGTCACTTTTTCAAAAAATATTAAGTTTGGCCCTCGACTCCGTCCCAGAGTTTCATTTCGGCCCCGTGTGAGTTTGAGTTTGACACCCCTGGTCTAGAACATCTGAAACCTATTTTGTTTGCTGTCAACAGGACTGACATGCTTCTGCCACCAGAGGGCGGTGTAAATGAACCCTGACATTAACTTGAAAATGTATGCCTGTAATACATCAGGCCTCATTCGATCTTGGGCTCACCAAGTGGGATATCAATGGCGGTAACAACGACTCCTATGGTGTTGGTAACCGCTTCTCCAACCTTCCTGGCAAGAGTTCCACCTTCTTCCTCGTCAAGTACAGATGCGAGTATTTCTGCAAAATGGAAAGAAAACACCACAAAAGCTGTGCTTGCATAAATGTGAAACATTAACATAAGAAGGAATAACATCTGCGATTGCTGAGTTTGTACCTGCATGTGATGTCCTCTGCTCAAAGCAGACGTCACAGACTCTGACAGGGGCAGGACCCCAGCCTCTCTCAGGGACGGGCGCAGCTTTAGAGGAGCAGCCATCACAAAAGCCCTCCCCGCAGGCACGGCAGTGATGCTTGGTGTCATTATCCTGGAAGACTGCGTGACACTTGTGGCACATCTTGCACAAGGGGAAAAACAGTAACAGCACATGCTGTTATTGATCAAGAGCAAATGAAGGAGGGTGAAAACAGGAGTCCTTCCACTTTTTTGTGACATGCACCTAAAACGTGCAATAGGAACAAAGCTGTAGAAAGAGTAAACACCCCTGTGGACACGAAAGTGTCAACTTGGCTGTCGGTGGCAGAGGGCAGGTCTGCGCGTCACTCACCAAGATGAGGGAGTTAGGTTTCCAGTAGGATGGGGCGATCTGATCTGTCAGCCATGAGGTGACGGCCTTGGCAGGTTTGACACTGAGCTCTGACACGGACTGGGCCACTAGGTTGACTCCATCCAGAAGCCGCTGTGCGGCGTTGCTGTTGTCTTTTAAAAAACCGTCAGACTGCAAAAAAAGCACAGAAGCAGGTACAACTCGGTTTGTATGATGATCGCTAAATTGCATGTAGTAATAAGTCATCTCAAACCGCCTGCTTTTCGTACCCCTGCCCAAACATGCTGGATCTCAGTGCGGACAGCTGTGTCTACAGGGTCCTGGTTACCATACCAGTACTGCCGGCTTCGGTAGATCACTCCACAGCTTGGACATTCTATAACATACCTAAATAAACAGAAACAAACATATCTTTAGCTTATTTTAAAGATAAAAATCAGCCGTTTATTGTTGTTCTGGCTGCATAAAGTATAAAAAAACTGCCTTGTCACACCTAATCATACAGGTTAATATCCTGCACCTCACCCAGACCAGGCGTATCTGGCGAGACCCAACCACGGAGAGTCTGCGGAAGCAGAGGTCTTCGGGATAACGATCACTTCCTTTCCCCCTTCGTAGCAAGCCTGATACAAAGCAAATTCTCAAGTCTTAAAGTAACTGCAGTGATACAATTGTTAAAAAGGCCACTGAAATTTGAATTCGAGTCCCAGTTCTTACCTTACAGGTGTAAATGCGATTGTCATACTGAGCAGAGTAACGGCAGCGCTGCTGGGCGTCGTGAAATGCTCCTTCGTCTAAGTGGTTCATACTATTCTTGCATTTAGATCTGCGACAAATGCGGCAATTCAGATTGTTGAGTAATAAGGAGAAATTTCTTTGCTCAAACACAAGCGGGAAGTACCGACCCACAACTGAGGCACTGGCTAGAGCAGGTGAAGTACTCATCAGGAAAGAAGCAGCTGTGCACCGACAGTTCACCTGAGATCTCCCCGTTGAAGCGCTCGCTCAAAGCCTGCAAAAACACAAGCGTGCAACAAATATTTAACACAACTTCACAAGCCGCTCAGGTCAGGTCAGCCTGGCTTTCTGTCTGAAGCAGGTTGGTTTCTGACATGTTCACCGACTCTTTAGCTTTACCTGCAGGGCTTTGAAGATGACCAGGGGAGTGCGTGGGGAACGGGTCGCATTGTTATCCAGGAGCTGCTCCAGTTTCTTCTGCAAGCCATGGAAGTCTGTAGGGGGACTGAGAGTCTGCGTGCCCCAATATTGGACCGAGCTGAAGGCTTCCGGGTAACGGGAAAGTTTTCTAAATCGCTCCAAAAGAAGCCGTTCTACTGACTCAGAGGATTTCTCTACAGTAGGACAAAGACAGGAGTTACTGCGTTGGATAAACTAAAAGATCCAAAACCAAAAAGATCTTTAGAGCAAGAAAAACCAACAAACCTTGAAATGAACTCTAGCAAGCCCTTAAAACAAAATTATGAACCTGTAACTGAACTTAATATTATCCTAACTAGGATTCTTGCTATGCTAAATTCTTGGCACAACTGAATAGACCTCTATTGCATTTATTTCTTGGTTGCAGATCTACACTGACATTTCTACTTGACAAGTTTTAACTGTACAGTGTAACTAAGACTTCACACAAATGGCAGGATGCTTCACCTGAACCCAGCAGCTTAGTGTGAACAGTCTCGTGGAAGATGACCACAGCAGGGCCTAAAGTGGACAGCGGGACATCTAGGCCACAGCGGGCCGTTGTGGCTTTGAGCTCTTTGGTGAAATGATTCAGATAAGCATTGGATGCATCACCAAGAAACTTGAAAAGGTCGTCGTGGAGACGATCGGCGTGGGTGCGGTAGATGATGAGGTCGGAGATGGCGAGCACCTTGAGCAAAAGACGGGTTCTCTGTCCCTGTTTGGAGCAGTTTCCAAGGAGCCCCTCGGTATCGATGACCACAACGTTGCGGAGGGGGTCCAGTGCAGCCCATACTCCCACGGTGCACGACTCCTGTGTGGGCGAAGTCTTGAAGACTTCTCGACCCGTGAAGAATGTGTGATTCAGGGTATGCGATTTTCCCTCTCCTGTGTTACCAAAGATGGACACCACCTTCAGCAGCTGCTCGGGGCTGCAGCCCAGGCACTTCATAAATGAAGCTTCATTTTTTATCTTAAGGATGAAGAAGAACATACGGGTGAATTCAGAGGGCTGAACCAAAAGAGTGAATAAGTGTCACAAACCCACCTGCATTTCTTCATTCTCATCAACCAGGAGAAAACTGGATACTTTTTCTATAAGTTTAGTTCTCTGAAAGTCGATCTCATCGTTTATTTGAATAACATGCTCAACAGTTGTCTGCACAGAATTGACTTCTGCAGGTTTGGGTGGTGGAGGGTAAGAAACGAGCTGGTGTTTCTTCTTGCTGCTCCCACTGTGGGTGCGTTTCTGACAGTCTTGGCACAAATTCACTTTGCAATTCTGGCAGCGCACCACAGACCTGTGGCGCTTGCTGCTGTCCCCGTTGCCTCCTTTACAATTGTCACAGTAGGGGACATGACCCGGACCTATCAGGACCCGCTCGTGGTTCTTCAGACGCTCCTGACTGTGAAGCTCCAGCTCACATCGAACACACTGCAGGCTTTTACAGCCATCACACTCAAATGCTGCCTCTTCAGAACCACCACAGGAAAAACGTTCTTGACATATCAGACTAGTATTGACTCCCTTTTCAGAGGAAGAGCCATGACTACTCATCATTCCTCCCAACGGGCAGGTAAGTATTAATCAGTGCTGACTGGAACAGCTGTGACAACACTAACGCTTATCAACAACAATAAAAATACAGTCAAACTAACTTTGGAGCAGAAGTTAAATAGTGCTGCTTGTAACCGATCTCAGAAGGAATAGAAGCTGTTGATGTTTCTTTACAGCATGAACACTTGCATCAAATTAAAAAAAAAACTAATGCATTTAGCACCAGTAAAAACAAGCTAATTTTCTTGATGCTTTCTCAGCAACGTTTAGATTAAATAAAGTTGGTGATTGTTTAAAATCACTAACAAGAATTTTCCAGTTCCGACCAAAACGACAGAAATAAAGCTACAAACGCTGATGCTAGCAAGCTAACAAACTAGAAAACTGACCATCAAGAGCTTGTTTACAAATTAGGTTTGTTGTTTAGCAACTTTAGCATGTTCGCTTAGCTAGCAGCTATTTGGCCTCTACAAGAAATAAAATAGCAACCAATAAACTAACAAACCCTAACACTCAAGTGTTCCGTCCAAACAAGTAGCTAACCTTTACACTTGTCAACTGAGCTCAAGTAGCATATCAATAAAAACAGATGCTAAGTGAAACTCTGAAATCTATGGACTCTGTCTTTAAAACGGCAGGGAAATCCGCGCGATTCCGATATAAAAGTCTTTTAAAAGTGTTACTGTGTTTGTTTCTTTCCGAGCGGTGTCATTGTTGTTCTTCAGCCCCCTCCCTGGCAGATTTCTCTAGCTACGTTGTGTTGTTGCTGGGTCACATCAGCTGATCAGATTATTTTTCGGTCACGGAGGTCAAAGAGAGAGAGAGGAGTGCTGTTGCATGACGGGAAATGAAGTTCTACACGAGAGGACGCCCACTTTCCATATTTACAACCCCCATAGCGTGTTTTGGTTGATTATATTAAAATAAAATGCATACGGAGAAACTTTTGTTCTACACAATCGTTGTGCTAGACTTTTATTTATTTTTTACAGTTATTTCAATTGCATCTTTTAAGTATTTTTGCATTTTTTTAATTGTACAGCATTTTATTCTATATTCCGATTTTTTCCTAATGGGAATCTTACTATACAATGTGAATATGATGTCACACCAAAATTCCCACAATCCTGCCCACCTGTCTATATCTCCTCCTTTCGCCAGACAACACTAACAGGATGCATAAATGTTCTCCCTGTGCATGCTTGGGTTCTCTCCGGATACTCCGGCTTCCTCCCACAGTCCAAAAACATGACTGTTAGGTTGCTTGGTCTGTCTAAACTGTCAATTGTGTGAGTGTGTGTGTGTGTGTATGATTGTTTGTCCCATGTGTCTCTGTGTTACCCTGTGATGGACTGGCACTTTGTCCAGGGTGTACCCTGCGTGTCTCTGTGTGAAACGAATGATTCTCAATCTTTACAGAAGCTGTGAGTAAATTTAGCAGTGCTTCAACATCAGCAAAATCAGGCTAGATTAGCCTATGAGGAGGCTAAATATTCCCTTCTAATTGGCTAAAAAGTTTGAAAATTTAGTACCAGCTTTGGCCACTGCAAGGCAGCAACTCACCATTTCCCTTCTCCAAAAGGAAGTCATATTAGCCTGGTCCCTGATACACAAACATCATTTTACTCCTCAGACATGCTTGTTTTGGAATAACAGGAACATAGTTTATAAAAATAAATCATTGCTTTCCTCTAAGTGGGTTGAGAAACATCATTTCTGTGAATCTGTTTTATCATACTAAAGGACAGTGTGTGTCTTACACAGAACTCCTAAACACATACATTTCCAGCCATTCCCAAAGAAGATGCTATACTGTCTGTAACCTATGGGTGCTTAACCCTCCCACATTCTCCGGGTTGTCAACTCAACCCTTTGAATGCTGTGAGCTGGACCCCATAAAGCAACGTACAAGTCCTGTTTTGTGTGTGTGTGTTTCTTTTTTTGGGGGGGGGGGGGGTCTGCATTACCCTAGAGAGTACAGGATGTCAACTGTGTTGGCCGTCAATTATGCCTGAATTTGTGTAGAATCCCCACTTGAAAGGGATGGAAGGGTCTTTGCAGCTTGCAACAGCTGGGATGCACTCAAGGACCACACAGTTCCCCCTTTTTTTCCTTCAGTTCATTTATGTAGTTTTTCCAAAGCTCTTTGGGATAGTGAGTCTCGAGGCTGGTCTCAGGTAGGGTAAAAACTTTGAAAATAATTTAAACAAAGAATGTAAATACAAACAAACACACACAATAAATGTGTTCACTTTGCAAGAAAGTATAGATTACTTGCTCAGTAACCAACGCCAATCAAATGAATGACAAAAACACTTAATTCTTTGACCTGTAATGTGAATTATTTCAGCTAAGTATTTTGTCATCCTAACATTTAGGTTGTGTACAAAAAGTGTTTACAAATCTCAATAAACTGTGATGCAAAGGGGCTAGCCTCTCCAGAGAAGACCACAGCAACCTCCCTGAGCAGAACCCAGTGTCCATCACTGTGGCAGACACCCAACAAAGAGCCTCAGGTCTGAAGAACTGGACAGCTCCAGGACCGGACATGATCCACCTAAGCCTACTGGCTTGAGAAGCTCACTGCACTCCATGAGTGTCTGGCAGCACAGATGAAGCAGCTGCTAAAGGATGGGACTCACCCTGAATGGCTAACTGACTTGGCTAATACCAAGGAGACGCCCTGTCCCCACTGCTGTTCTGCAGAGGTCAGATCCCCGTCTACCAGATAATCCACAAGAATGGCCATGGACAGCACCTCCTCTACATGGAAGACCTCGATCTCGTCATCCATATAGAGGCGGTCTAATCTTTAGGTGTTTGAATCGCACTTAGTCCGACCACCTACCCGAGAGACCATGTTGTCACGGAGACCCTAACAGGGGCTAATCAACGAGACTACACAGCTTCCAGGAATATGGAGGTCCTCAAACCCTCCCACCACGATAAGGTGGCGATTCTGCGGGAGGGATGTTTGTTTTTTTTTTGTTTTTTTTTGTGTCATTTTATTGTTTTTTTTTGTGTATTTTATATAGTTTTTTTATTCTACTTTATTTTATTTGACAGAAAATACATAGTTTACAAAAATATTTGTTGTTGTTGTTCTTGCTTCTATTTCTTCTACTTGCTTGTGAAATCTAAACAGCTTCTCGGTTCTAAACAGCAAGTGGGCCTAAACTATATGTGTACATCCACTTTCTACTAGAGATTTTATCGTTTTTACTTCTTAAGTTTTACGACCCCCAGCTCGCCTAGGAGATGATGGTAGGTGAGGGCGTAAAGCAAGAAGTGTGTAAACAGGACAAACCAAGGATTAGTCTCTTGAAGAAGGTTTATTAACTAAAAGCGCTGCTGAAATGAGCAGGAAACAAATAAGAAACACAAAGATCTTCCAAATACTGGGTAAACAACAAATACTAATAAACAAAAGATCATCTAAGCCAGGTATATTATAATAAACACAAACGCCAGGACTAAACTGGGAAAAGGAAAGGACTAGGATAAACACAAAAAGCTCCAACAAAAGGATGAGCTGAACTCTTTAATGAGTATTCTAAACAGTACTGCAAACAAGCTCTAATCGAGGAAGAATAACTAAACCACACGGTAACACTACTAGACTCAATAGTCAGATCTAGGCGGGAAAGAGGATCACTTGCTTTAACGCTCGGGCCTCTGCTCAGCTTCCCTCCCCGAATGACAGAGGGAGCTGCCTTTTATAGGAAGCTCCCTGATGGGTTAATTAGCAACACCTGGCTCAGCTAGAGCCAGGAGAACAAACAGTGCCTACGAGACCACCTAGTGGCCACTAAAACAGAGTGTCTGTTACACTAAGTGAAAAAAAGTTCATTTTCTTCTTAAACACCCCCCTCTTGTTCATCCCTTCAGGTGTTTCCAGATGTGACTGACGCTTTAGAGTTGCTTACTTGTGAGGATTCTACATCTCTGCCAGAAACCAGAGAACTCCGAGTTTTGGCTCCTGTGACCGAGCTTCCACTTTTATTTACTCCTCAATTATTTTCTGCAGTCACTGATAATTGATCTTTCATCTCTAATCCCTTATTTTTCCTCTGATGATGCGAGGGTGGGTCGTACGAGACCCTAGAGGACGTGCTTGGAAGAGCTTCATCCACACTTGACTTCTCATATGAAGATTTTCCATCTTCGTCCTCACCTGAACTTACCTTTGAAACCAGAGATGATTCAATGTTACTTTCTTCTCTTCTCTTAGGTGTTTTACTTCTCTTAGCTAAATCCCACACCGTTTGAACTGTATTCTTATCTCATTTTAACCCACCGGCTAATTCTTCATCCGTGTCTGACTGATCTATGTTTGCATCATCAGGTTTGACAAACACATTTTAATCACTTTCCTCTGCAGGCTGAAGGTCTTTCATCCTCGTCCTCACTCAGTTCCTCTTCTGAGCTGAAGGACATGCTAGAAGGAGCCACGTCCTCTCAGAACATATTTTGTAAACCAAACTCCAACAATAGTCTGGCTTCCGTTTCATCTAGCTTCTTTAGTGCAGCCCTCAAATCTATAGGGTCATCGTCTTCTGAGTCAGAGCAGTTTTTTTTCTTTTTTATATATGATTTTTTTATAACTTTTTCCACAATTACATCACAAGAGTCAGAGCAGTTTAAATTACGTTCACCAGAGTTCCCAGAATCCCTGTGACTCATCGTGAGCAGAAGACAAGCTACCAGGAGCCATGACCTCACAGTCCGAATCATGAAGTTTGGCTTCCATTTCATCTAGACTATTTATATCAGCCTCCTCATCTGTGGAGTCGCTTGTGTCTTCAGATAATGAATCCACATCGACCTCTAAAGCAGAGCAAATTGTCTCACCTGCATCAAAATCGTCAGACTTGTGATTAAATCTGTCCTCCGTAACCAAAGATGTTTCCTCTTCATCATAATTTAAAACCTCCAGTACTTTCATCCTCACCATCAGATTAACTAATTTCTGCTTTGAAACTAACATCGTTTCAGCCGCAGGGCTCATATACGTCAAGTTTTCAGTGTGACTTTCGTCTTCAGGCAATGAATCTTCGCCTTCTTGATCAGAGCAACTAGTTTCATCTTCATTGAGACTTTCATCGATGTCAGACAGCAAATCATAGTTTCTCTCTGAATATGAAAATGTGTCATCCTGACTCAGTTCTTCCTCTGAAAAAACCGATGTGTCACTGTCTGTTTCCTCTAATTCTTCATCAAAAGGAGACATTTCCTCCTTTTCTTCTAAAGAAAGTGATATTTCATCATTCTCCTCAAAGTTCTCCTCTATAATTGTGGAAAGACCAGCCTGATTCTCCCAAATATTCCTCTCTGTAGTCAGAGATAGACCAGCGTCCTCCCCCCATTGAGTATCAGGATAAGAACCGCTGCACAAGCTAGGAGGAGCTTCGTCTTCACAAATTATCTTCTGCAAACTTATTTCTAACCCTAGGTTGCAACCCATTTCTCCGTCCATATCAGGTAAGTCGCTGTCGTCATAAGGCAACGAGTCGAGGTCGTTTTCTGACTCAGACCAGGCCTCATATGCATCATTAGGAATTTCAGAGACATCAGACATGTAACCGCAATCTTCTGCAGAGACATCAGACATGTAATCACAATCTTCTGCTGAAACCGGAGATGTTTTCGCTTCTCCTTCTATAAAAGCCTCTAATTCTGTCAGCTCACTGGGAGCTTTAGAGCCAGAGTCTCTTGAGTCAAACACATCCAAATCTGATGTAGTTACTTGATCTGACTTAAAATCACAAAAGGATTTTTCAGTCAGTGGTTCTGCGTCTTCATGG